ACACATTTTATAGTACGTTCAGAATTAATTCTTAAATGTATTAATATGCCCGGGGGCTAAAACTAAATTGGTCTTCACGTGAATATGCGTTATTAAATTTTTTTTAAATTTGGGGGTTGACTTAAGAATGAAATTACCTCTAAAACGAGGTGTCACTTGACCCCCCTTTCCATAAGAAAAAAAAAGATTCAAAATGGCGCCTAACTGTTATTTTGAAAGTTTCAACTATCATTTTTACGTCAAAAAATAGCATTTTTACTCCAATATAAACACCCCAAATTTCGCGACAAAAGCTCTTACCATTCAAAAGTTAAAGGGGAGGCGACAGGCTTTTGATCCTCACTGTATGAGATGCTGGTGATACAGCTAATGAAGAAATTGGAACCCAAACCAAGTACCTTTAAAATCTAGCCGAAGGACATTCGAATAGGATTCGAACAAGAAAATCTCGATGCTATGCTACTCGTAATCGCTCGCTTACGATGCTCGTTCGGCTGTGGAGCAGGAAAATCCGGTGCATGTCTGAGAAAATCGCGGACGCGTGTGTGTGTGTGTGTCCCAACGCCATCGTTCGTCGGTTTGTTTAAACGCATTTGCATAGTCAAACATTCGAAACGCAACGGTTATTTGTCGAACGCGGAACGAAAACCTCCCCAAGAAACGACCGAATTTTCGAAATTTCCCGTCGATTCCGCAAATTCGACGTTAAACGGCGCTCGAGCTTTTCGCCAAATTTGAATATTTACTCATCCGCTCGCTTTATCTTCGCAGTCTATTCGGCTGTGCGATTCTTTAAGCCTCTTCTACATCAATTCTTGCGTAAAACGTACTAATCAAATTAACGATCTACGTTCAGTGGAGACCTTAATGATTGATAGTCAGCCTCATGATGGTTACCAATTTAATTATTCATCCCTACATGAATCATAGAAAACATAACCCACAGGTCCCAAATACCATCATACATTGAGAGATCTTTTCTACCAAATAAAAGTTAATTAATCAACCTTTTGTATATACCTAAAATTAGTAGAATAAAAAAGTTAGGAAAAAAAATAAACACCAAAGCTATGCAGCCGGTAGGTACATAGGATGCAAAATAAAAATCTCTTTCGCCGAGCCGGCAGCCGGTAAATCACGCGTTCCGGAGAGAGCAGAGCGAGCGGAGAATCGGAAAATCCAGTAATTATCCAGCGTACGGGGCGACCCCTCCGGCCCCCCTCTCGATTAAAATTGCTCGCTCGTTGTTCGTTTTATTTATGTTAAACGCAACTCGCGAGGCAATCAGCGTAATCAATTCCGTTTTTATTTATCGTCAAACCGCGCCGGCCGGTCGACGAGAGTCGCTCGGAGCACGCCGAACGAACGCAAACAGCGAACAGATTTTTTCGTTTGATATTTCGTTAACGATTTCGCTCGTTGTTTTTTCGTTTCGAAGGGTATGAGGGAATGCAAAACAGGCTGGTCTGTGTTAAAATGGAAGGCAGCCAGTAAGCTTTTGGAGGTTATTTGCAACCTGGATACTACCAAACAACAGTAGAGCCTTTGTTTGGTAGCGAATCATCATAAATTGGATTCCTCTATAGGGGTTGCTCCATGCTCTAGCTATAGCATTTTTTATAAACAATTACACTGTTGCCCGATTTCACCAACATGTTTTTAGGTATTTCCTAACTAGGTAATTCCTAAGGTAGGAATTACTTAAATCGAATACTTACCTAAATCGAATTTCACCAACATTAGAAATCCCTTACTAAGAAATACCTAGGTAAAATTTTGATTTCGACATTTTTTTGAATTTTTTTGGTAGTATTGCCTAATTTTGACGTGTAAACCGAATAAGCGGAGATCGTAATTAATTATGTTGAGAGAAAAGAAGAGATGTTGATGATCAGGGCTATCTTTAAACTATGTTAGTTATTTTTAAATCTGCTGAAGATGTAGTCTGTACATTAATAGAAAAAGAACCTGTTTGATTTGTAAAATATTTCTGCATCTTCTCCTCCAGGACAATAGATCTTTACATGCATGTGTACAGTCAATAGATACAGTCAAACTTTCAGTGTTTCAAATTATAAATTATCTTCAATTCTTTCTAATACTTGTAATGCCGTATTTTTATATATCGAAAAAGGCGAAAAAAAGATCAGTTTCGTCCAGTTTCTAAAAACTCTCCTCCCATTTTAAATTTTCATCTAAAGAGTCTAGAGACAGTCAAATCTTAAGTCACATGAAATCACATGAAAAGTATGGTTAAGTATTTCCTAAATGTTTTAGGCAAACCCAGTGAGATGTCCTAACTTTAGGCATTTCCTATTACCTTTAGGTATTATTTAGCGCATGGTGAAACGCAAATTGTACTTAGGAATTCCTAAATCCTGTTTAGGTATTACCTAACTTTAGGAACTGGTTGGTGAAATCGGGCATGTATTTCTTTAAACCCACATATTTAATATGTTTCAAACTTCGAAGTTTCTCCCATTTTCTTTATCTTCTTACTCTTCTTACCCATTTACCAGGGTGAGATAATCCTGAAAATAATGACCAACTACTTTCAAATCTTCTCACTTTTAGGCATAACTAACTTTTTTTCGATTCCTTGCTTCTTCTTATTTCTTTGTTCTTCACTTTCAAACAGTTTTTCTTAAACCACTAAAGTTTAAAAGAAGCAAATCCAATACAAACTCTACAAACGTACCTACCCTAAATTTTTCGTCGTTATAAACTTGCTTGGCGAATTATATTTATATCTGCACAATTACGAGGACCGGCCGTGTGTAACATAAATTACGTATTCAATGTGTATTTAGCCGAAGTGACAAGGGAAACATGTGTATTAAAGACCTGCCGAGCGGCCCTCTTCGCCTCATGTCTCTGTTCCCGCTGCTCTGTGGCGTTGCATGTGCGAAGAGCTTTGTTTGCTCTTTGCTCTTGGTTTCGTCGCCCTTCCGATGCAACGGTGACGGTGCCGAAGGGGACACAATTAGCCATAAAATAATAATTAGCCATCCAAAATTCATAAAATTTACTTACTCCAAACTCTTCTTGTGTCTTTCACAAATCGCTAGGTGTTATTAGATAGTATTTACTCTGGTATATTTTTTGTGCTGTACGCCACTGTGCCAGCCCTTCTGCATTTGACGCGAATATGAATACAATGGAGTATTTAAGTAGACACCCCTAATCAAACGTCGGCGTTCAGGTTAATCCCTGTTTTTTTTACGAGCAACTTTGCAATCATTCGGCCTGTCCTGTCTACCCGACGGTTTTAAGGGTTGAGGGATGTTTATTTTCGTACGTGCAGAGGATGAGGCCCGTATTTTTATTATCAATTAGTAAGCTGCGGCCTTTACATCATTGGCGAAGATCAGCACATGTTGTTGGGTAATAAGAAGAAATTATCAGCGATTAAGATATAGTAACCGATTACCACCAAAGCAACGTTCAAAATCCTATGTAATTCCTGATGGAATTGGAGGATTTATCCGAAATAACCAGCTATATTACTTATCTAACTTTTGTCTTCAAACTTCCTTATATTCTTCTAATTTTTTAGATTGATGGAGCTGAGCTGTAGTTGGTTTTACTTGATTTGTATGATTTCTCAGTGAGAAACCTGGAGTTTCTGGTGGAAAATATTCTCTTGTATTTAAGACATAGTCATTAAGTAATCAATTCTTTAGGGATGTAAATTTTGCAGAAACTTCTGCCCCATTACCACCAATCGAAATACCGATGGAATCGTAGCATTCATCCAAATAACCAGCGACTTCCTTACCGGCTGATTATACCGCCAGCAAAGGCGAACAACGCGGGCCGCCCGGAAAATCGATGGATTAGCATAAGATGTCGCCGAGGAAGTTAAATCCTCCGGGCGGCGGTTGATTGGTATTTGCAGAGGATCGTCTTCTGACTGGTCGCGCTGGCACTGATTCGAAGCCGACCGGCGACCTCCGGCTTATTGGCACACAATTAGCAGTCATCGGTATTCCGGACGCGCGGTCTGCTCATCCGGTGTTTACCGGTTTGATTGAATCGAATCGGCTCGATTGAAGGACGGGGGCGGCGGGCGGCGGGCGCGGATCCGTGGGGGGGCTAATTCGGCTAACAAGCTTTTTATAAGGGGGGGAGGTTCTGTTGCTTCGCATGGTCGCTTTACTGTCTTCATTAAAATTATTGTTTTTTTTTTGTATTGTTGAACTGTTTCATTAGGTATAATTCTCTTGAAATGATTGTTTTATACCTACCAGCTTTAAACCAGCAGAAGTGCATTCATAACCTCTTTGAATTATCACAAAATTGGTCTCAATTTACAAATTCATCGTACTTCAATTATTAAAAATTAAATTCCAAACAAAGATATTAGTTACAATATCTTTGATGCCAAATAATTTTGTTTTGTTTGTATTAGCTCATTTTTATTGTTATTTTTAATAGTGGTTCCTTATGTAAAGTTCCTACATGTGGTATTTGCATCTTCAACAAATCTTGTTGGAGGATTAAGGATTTAAGGATTATTTTTCAGAATCTTTGAATCAAGACCTTTTGAATATGTATTTAGATATTTTCGATCAATTGTTGAAGTGAACAGATTTTTAGTATTTCTAATAGTAAAGCTCTCTTCAATCTTGTAATTAGCAGAATATTTCCGCGATTGTGAAAATCACCGTATCCATTTCGCGTTTCGAACGCGTTTCGATGAGTTCTTTAAATATTATCATTCCGTTCGGGTGACCGTTTTGTGTACATTTTCGATTCGGCCAAATCATGCGCGTCGATTCGATTAAGCGTTTCGCGATGCACTGATTGCACCGTGCAATTATTATTGCAGTTTTCCCGATACAGATCGAACTCTATCGCATCATCGACTGGCGATTATTTCGAACGTGATTGCGATTTTCCGCTAACAATTACAAACGAAACTTGCTTACCTATAAACTTCACAAAAAAGGATTTTTTGGCTGTATGCGATTTCTAATTGTTGTTGTTTTTATTTGCAGGTTTGGTTTCAAAACAGGCGAGCGAAATTTCGAAAGCAAGAACGTCTCGCCCAACAGAAATCCACCAATTTAAATTCGGACAGTCCCAATCCTTCGACGAACATCAAGGCCGAGAACAACGGTTCGTCGAAGAACAGCAGCAAGGATAACGTGAAGCCTGGATCGCCGCATTCGAGCATATCGACGACGCCGAATTCGAATACCAGCAGCATATCCAGCCTGCATTCGAACAACGGCGACATCAAGCCCTCTAACGGCAGTTCCGGTGAGCTTTCTCTTGCTCCGATATTCATCTGACTTTGACCTACCTATCCTCTGTATAAATTAAAACTGGGTAGTTCATATACTATCTAACTAGATTGTACATTCATGCTGTACTTCATTCGACATCAGGAAATCACCTGATAGCGAATGGACTATAATTGATTGATTGAAACTATACAAATATTAGGTACCTTTATTTTACACCCCTTTACAAAGAGAATACTTAACAAATCCGGTCTACTTATACACCCAGGATTTGCATAGAACAATTCATTTCATCGTCCTCTATTTTTCCGTCCTGCATCCTGTTGATAGAATTGCAACTCAAATATTCAACAGCATCTATTCGAAACGACGGAAAAAAAAAGACGAACCGGAGTTCCGGTTTTATTGTCTCCGGTCCGTTTCGTCGAACGCGATATAAATCCACGGATAGATATTATTTATGGAATCGAATGAGACAATATCATTTTTATATTCGCAGATAAATCTTCGACGAGCAGCTTTTAGACGTCAAAAAAGTTTCATAATACTCGTTATTCGTCCGTTCCCTTTTCCCGAACGATTTCTTTTCCTTCATTTGCGATACCGATTCAGGATAGGGCTTAATGGATATGTATCCCCTTCCTGAAATCGCGAGGTTGATTAATTATAACGAAGTGTGGTGGTAAATAATATACAAACAGTATTAATTTTCCACTTTATAAATTAACTAAATTTTGATAGATTTAGAACAGGTTAATTTTAACTGATGATTGTTATCAGTAAATAATCTGGGGCGATTTTGTTTAAGTATTTTTTGTGGAACCGATTTTTCGAAATGGATTTGATCCTATCCTGCCGTATACACGACCGCCATCTAAGTTCCCATAGCGGAGCGGGAGGCGGCGTGTGCAGCAGGACCGAACGGGAGAAAAGGAGCAGGAGAGCGAGAGCTTCCCTTTGCGCCGTTCTGACATTTAATCTAGAAAATTGCCCGCTGCCGCCCATTTATTTCAATTACTGTCAACTCTTTAGCTGCCGCCTACGTACACACACACACACACACACATACACCGCCGGCGGTGGAGCGGCGGCGGCGGTCGTGGAATTCTTTCCATCGCAATCTGATGTCACATTAGAGGACGGGGGTGGTTGTTTTTCCACGCGCGCTATCTTTATCTTCTAATCTGGTTGAATTTTCCGAAAAATTAATTCCCGAATGCACCGAGCTCTCCCTGGAGCGTTCAAAATTTTTTCGTTTCCGTCTGGTTTTCCTTCGGGAATAAATTCAGCAGAAACGCTGTCGCTTCTAATCGCATTTAGTTCGACTAGAACGAGTCGCTCGTTGGTTCCCAATTCAATACTAATTTCTAATTTCCTGTTTCAGGCAAATCCGAGGAGTCGATATCGAACAACAACAAATGGCACTCGATGAGCCCGCAGGCCTGCAACACGGCCTTGCTGGTGCAGCAGGCCAACAAGGTGCTGTCGCAGCCGAACCATCTGCAGTCGCATCATGGTTCTCACGCGGCCGCCGCCGCCGCCGCGGCGCTCTCCTCGCCCTTTACGTCCCTCCTGGGGGCGACGGGAGGGGCGGCTTCTTACCTGCTAGGCGATCATTTGAAGCCTACGGCGGCCAATCACTTGTTCTAAGGACGATATTATCGATTTATTATCGACGATTATTATCGATTCTTTAAGAGAAACGCGGCGTATAATTCGATACCTCTAATAACATACAGTACGGTTTCTTTTGAGGGATGAGATTTCTAAAGCGAAATTGATGGTTTATTTAAAGATCGTCGGCGTACATTTTTAATGAAACGATAATAGTTTGATTTTGCGTGGTTTTAAGTGAGAATTTGTAACAAACCTAGTGTATAAAAATCCGTCTGTGTTGTTGAAAGAAACGTGTTATACGAAACATTATACGAATATAAAAAAAGTTTTATGAGAGAGCCTAGTTAATTTTTTATGTTTTATTTATGTTGCAATTTCATACAATTTTTGTGATTTACAGATGCCAGAATGTGCTTTATTTTCGCATGTTTTTTAATTTTTATATTAATTGCAATATAGGCCTCATAATCTTGCTAACCATAAAATTTTACTTTCATATTTTTCAGGAATCATATCACCGATTTTTTTAGTTTCTATTTAACAATCTTAAATTATAAATTTGTATTATCTATTAGCAATTTTGCGTTTGCGGTGGTTTATTAATTAAAAGAAATAAAATTCGTAATTTTTGTAAATATTAAGATGAATGAACATGTTGTATACTTAAAAATACCTAATTTTATCGAAGAACTGTATATATTTTGTAAATAAGTATTTTCTTGGATTATGTAATTACATAACTTATAAATGTCGAGATAAATGCATCGAGATATTACACCAACACCGGTACCATTCTCCTTCTAGTCCATTAATGTATAAGTTTTTGTGTAATAATAAAAGGAATGTGATTCATTGGGAGGCCTTTTGTTTGCCCTTATTTTCCAGTTCTTATATTAAAAGTGCCTAGATAGATGCGTTCAAGATTCAATTTACATCCAGTAATAATAATAAATAATCATTGCTTTATTACAATAAATTCAAAATTGTGGAATATTCTCAGGTTATATTACAAAAGCCATTATCTTTTTTGAGCTAATCATAGAATATTGGCCAATTACTACAGATTTGTGTCAAAACATATTCAGAGTCCGATCCTGTTCATTGCATAGTAACCGAATAGTTAGAGGCCATCATTCTTCTAATTTCTCACTACTACCAACTACGCAGAAAAAACTGAGAATCAAAAATACCTAGAAAAAATGTCAAAAATCAATTTTTGTTGATTCCAGAGATTTGTGTCGAATGTGTTTGATGGTAATTTCTAAATAATTTCACCCGAAAAGAACATTTTACGATCACCACATCGAAAATTTAACAGGTCACATTCAGTTTTCGCGTTTTAAGTTCGAATTATGGCGTTGTGTTCACATCGTACGAAATTTATTAGGTTAGGTTCCCATATCAATAACTTCGTGCGATTTTCTTCATGCCAAGGATTCTCAGGGGTAAGGCTAATATTAAATCACCGAAAGCGACACTAATTCGTGTTCATTTAATAGAAAGGATTGGTTTTGGGCGTCCACACCACTGAAAATAACGAAGTGAAACTAACACCTGCAGCTGAGAAATACAACGAATTGTGCGAAGGGAAGCTCTTGCAACAAATTCAACTGTAAGTACAACATAAAATCGTAGTTTGTTTAACAGAACGTCTTATTTACATATTTTGTTATGTTTGTAAATGATTGGATGTTTAATTTATTTTTATTTATGAATCCTTCTTTCGTGGTAAAAAACAAACCTGATTTTTACAAAAATTTTAATGGATATATAATGTGATAAAATGTTTTATCATATTTAAGACCTACCCTATTTATTTATAAATTTCTGAGCTTAGATTTATTAATAATAAAGGTTAAGATTTGTGTATCACAACCTGTTTGTATTGTATTTATAATTTAGTGTACATTTTTTTTATCACCCGACCTGAAACTTTCTGTTTTTTAGTTATTCCTGCCTTGTATTATTATTTAGATTCCATATTTGAGTTTTGGTACAAATTACGTTGAAATTCCTACACACTTACATAACCATTTCTTTACATTATTTTAGCAAATATAACAAACTTAAATTTCTTATAACCTATTGTACAGTAAGATCACTTTAGTACACTGTAAATAAACGAACGATTTGATTGTTTCAGGTCGGTAATGATATAAATATTTGCGCGACAATCGAACCCCATACGATGGCGTCGAGCCGAGACGGCAGAAGCAGCTCGGCCTCCTCGCACAGCGGCTCCAACATAACGCCCAATCGCCCCTCAATTCGCACCCCGAAGCGCCCTCGACCGACGTCGAGCAGCACCTTCGACGAGAAGACCTCCGACTTCCAATGCCCCGTGTGCTTCAGCATCATCGAAGAGGCGCACATCACGAAGTGCGGCCACACCTACTGCTACAAATGCATCATAAAATCGATAGACGTGCAGAAGAGATGCCCCAAATGCAATTCCGGCCTGACGGCCGCCGAAATATTCCCCAATTTCCTCCTCAACGACCTGATCAAGAAACACAAGATGCGTTTGAACGGTTACGAAGCGCTCGGCATACCCAGAGACAGTTCGGGCGAATTCACCACGTCCGTGGACGGTTTGCGCGACTTTGTGGCCACCGAATCGCAGAATCTGACTCTACCCGACGTGAACGTTATGCTGGAAGTGCTGACCCAACGCAAACAGCTGCTCGAAGCCGAATCGTGCGCGGCGCAAAACAAGCTACTCTTGGACTTCCTCAAGCATCTGCTCGCCCAGAAGCGCGAACGTCGAGCGCAAATCGCCAAAGAGGTATCGATCATCGAGAGGGACATCGAGGAGGTGACCAACAAGCTGAAGGAGGTGCACAGCAATTGCCCGACGTTGGAGGAGGTCGAACGGACGGCGGCGGGCGCCTCCGAAACGGACGCCACCACCGTCAACGCCATGAAGAAGGAAATGCTGGAGATCATCGATAACATGGGCAGGAAGGAGGAGGAGACGCCGTCGCGTTCGAACAATTCGTTGGCGATGCGTCGCCGGCGGATGCTCGCCTATTTCGATGACTTCGTCGATTGCTATTTCTCGCATCGATCGAAGGAGGTGTTTTTCGGTAAAGAGGGAGCGGATAAAACCGCCAAACCGGCCGCCGAATTGAACGTCGGATTGGACCAGTTCCGCGAGAGCCTCATCAAATTCTCCTCGTACAATTCACTCGACGTTTTGGCCACGTTGAATTACTCCAGCGACGATATGCACAACAATTCTACTATCGTGTCGAGCATCGAGTTCGATAAAGACAATGAGTTTTTCGCTATCGCTGGCGTCACGAAATTGATCAAGGTATGTAGTTCGAACGATGGTAAACTTGCACCAGGTGCAATAATGTCGCAGAGGTGCATTATATACTAGCCTATTAACCAACTAGATTAAAGAATCCTCTGCAGTTTCCTCGCTGATAAGATGAGATCACATTTCTGCCAGAGGTCACCAATATTTGTGACTGTTAATGCCCCCTTTACATTCTAATAGAGTGACTCAAAAGTCACTCCAAAGTTAAAGAGAAGTGCTGAATACGGGTCAATGTGTCATGTTAGTAGTCTGAGTACAGTTGTATTAAAAAAAGGTACAAGTAATAGAAAAAGACATTAACGTCATCTTATTTGTGTAAAACCGGCTGGGATTATTGAAGCTTATCAAATGTCAAAAGTTGTCAAAAATGTAAATAATTTAATGGCGTTTTCCATTGGTAAAATAGTGCGCACTGAAAGTGCACTTAAAGCTAAATATTTGTCTCATTTGGTAGACTAAGCGAGTGTTTTGATTTCCATTGGCAATCTGGCCACCAAAAAACACTTTTGGAAATCAAAACACTCGCTTAGTCTACCAAATGAGACAAAAATTTAGCTTTGAGTGCACTTTCAGTGCGCACTATTTTACCAATGGAAAACGCCATAAGTATCATTGGTCATTATTTCGTTTAATTGACCCCCAGCGCCAATGATTTCCATTTTCTTCAACATATGACATTTGATAAGCTAAAATAATTCTAGCCGGTTTTATGCAAATAGGATGACGTTAATTTCTCTTTCTATTACTTGTACCCTTTTTTTTTAATACAACTGTACTTTACTCAGATTGCCACGATTCATAGACCAGAGCTTTTGGTTGTCCTTTCTTGTAAGGGTATGAGCTGTTTTAGTAACCGTAGAGCCGGTTGTTACTTTCCATCGAACGAGGCGAAGCACTTTATTTGCACATTATCGGCACCGGGTGCATAACTATTTATCTCATACAGTGTTAGAAAATTATTCGCGCATAATAGGGAAATCAATGTTAAATTCTTAGCCGGCTGAAATCCAGTCTACCAGTATACATTTCAATAGAATGTCGCGATCAATTCTAATAAATTTAATTGTTCTACTGGACTTCACACCGCGCTTTGGCTTGGTTAGATTAAAAATCAAATAATTTCGACGGTTTCGACACTTCGACAGTATCAAAACGGGTTCAGATGGGTGAACGTCGAGTCGATTAAAATAAAATGAGAATTTTTAAACGATAATTTATTGAAAAAATATCACTAATATTAAAATAGAATTATGTAGATATGTCTTTTTGCCACAATGGCTTGAAAAAGAAAGTAAATTCTAAGAAAATAATAAAAAGGAAACTCCAAAAATAAACTTAAAGTTTATTTTAAAACAGAAAATAAAAGAACTTTAAAAAATAGTCTACCGCTTTCTGCTAAACTATAGCCAAACCTGCCATACAGATGTCATCCCATATTACTGAGCTGAGGTATAATTCTAGCTGAAAATTGAATTATTTTTTCCCTTATTTCAACAAAATTTGTTGCTGTTTCAAAACTGTACCTACCGATACACACATTTTTTGAAACATCCCCAAAAAACCTTTTAAATGTAGTTTCTAAATAATTTTGTACCTCATACCTAACACAAATAACTTTGTACCTCTACAAATCGCGGCGTGCGATCCAGTAGAACAATTAAATTTATTAGAATTCATCGCGAAGTTCTATTGAAATGTATACTGGTATACCGTATTTCAGCCGGCTTAGAATTTAACATTGATTTCACTATTATGCGCGAATAATTTTCTAACACTGTATAATTCTATGCGATGTGCATCCGATCTAAAGCTTCGATTTCACTTAAGGTATACGATTACGGGGCGGTGATAAAAAACGTAGTCAACGTGCACTGTCCCTGTAACGAGATGGTATCCAGATCGAAGATATCGTGCGTCAGCTGGCACACCTACCACAAGAGCACGTTGGCGTCGAGCGACTACGAAGGCACCGTGACCATTTGGGACGCCTCGACCGGCCAGCGGACGAAGACCTTCCAGGAGCACGAACGTCGCTGTTGGAGCGTCGACTTCAACTGCGTCGATACGCGCCTGATAGCGTCCGGCTCGGACGACGCCAAGGTGAAGTTGTATTCGTTGAACGAGGAGCATTCGGTGGCGACGCTCGAAGCGAAAGCGAACGTTTGCTGCGTGAAATTCAATCCGAAGAGCTCGTCGCACCTGGCGTTCGGCAGCGCCGATCACTGCGTCCACTACTACGATCTGAGGAACATGCGGGAGCCGGTGAAGATGTTCAAAGGGCACAAGAAGGCGGTGAGCTACGTCAAGTTCCTCAACGACGAGGAGATCGTGAGCGCTTCGACGGATTCGCAGTTGAAAATGTGGAGCATCAACGATCCGTTTTGCTTGAGATCGTTCGTGGGGCACGTGAACGAGAAGAACTTCGTCGGTTTGGCCACCGACGGTGATTACATAGCGTGCGGTTCGGAGAACAACTCTTTGTACGTCTATTACAAGGGATTGAGTAAAAAGTTGTTTAGTTATAAATTTTTGCCGCTCGAGGGCGTGTTGGAGCAGGAGAGGCGGGAGGATGACGTTAACGAATTCGTTTCGGCGGTGTGTTGGAAGCAAAATTCGAATGTTGTCGTTGCTGCTAATAGTAAAGGGATTATTAATATTCTCGAAATGGTTTAGTTGTAATTTTTTTTTAATAGGAAGAAGTATAAAATCGAGTATGTAAAGGGTGTTGGTTTATTCAACAAGCAAATGTTCCTTAGCATTGCAAATTATCTCATTAACATCTTTATGTTCGTATAATTGTCAATCGAATATAACAACACCCTGTAGAATGTTATCAATTGTGGATTGAAAATATTAGAATTGACTGTTTTCAGTTACATTGATGAAGTGTACAAACTTTATTTACATAATCTGGGAAAATTTATGATTTTTTTTATTAATTTCGAGCTGTCTTAACTGTTAATATCATCAAGAAATTATTTTGCTGGAATCTTACTTCTGTGCATATACATATTAAATAATTATAGGATTTTAGCAATATATTATTTCCTGGTAATTTTATTGTTAAGAAATGTTTAACAACTCGGTGACTTAATTTTTTTACTTATATAAATAGATACTTTATGTACTGTAAATGTAGCAAGTTTTAAGAGGAATTAACTATTGATATTAAAAGGTAACTCATTGTTTTAAGCATTAAATTATTTTCAAGGTTTGAATCCGAAATTTATTTGGGATACTATATTGTGAAGGTTGTGATACAATGTAATCTTTACAAAAAGCCGCTACCGATGGGTCATTGAATGAGATGAAAGTTAATTATTTTTCGAGAAAAATTTGTTGTGTATTAAACGTTTGAGATTATTCCTAAAGTGTGTCGCTGTCTCTTGAAGTTCTCGTTGTGCCAGTATACTATTATTAAAAATAAAAACACAATGCGCACAAATTTAGTATGATAGATATAAAACATATTCTGTATATTAGTATTGGACTTATTTTGTAGATAATTTAGGTTAATCAGAGGATTTACTTACACAGTGTTGGATACATTCGTAAATTGGTAGCATAGTTTATTCATACAGTACTAGAACCACAACTGCCGAAGAGTACAAGAGATCTATCTAGTACAGTACAGTACCAAAGTTGATTTAAAACGAACAAAGACTGTAATAATAATGTGCTTACCAACACTGTGTATTATTCTAAGCTGTATGTTAAATTATGCAAATGTTGTTCAATTTGTTTTTACATTTCAGATGGTAATTTATTTTTAATTATATTCGGTTTTCCTAGACAGGGTAGGGAATGTACAAAAAAGGCAGAAATAAATTAGTTTGTTGTGTATACTGTGAGTATTTAATTAGTTACATAGGAGTTATTATTGGATTATTCATCTGAAATGCAAAACCATTTTTTATCAAATTGTCAGAATCATGCCATTCTACGAATATGTCCATTACAGTGCCTAGAACATTAAAATAGCATTGGAAGTTCTAAACCATTAGTTAAGTACGTAATTGTAATTGACCCCATTTTGCTGTAAATTAATGAAAATATTGCTCATTATATTTGTAGATATAGCAATACATGTGCCAAGTTTTATTCTAATAGGTGTTGTTACATTAACAATCCGTTTTATCGTCGGGAAAATGCTCTGAATTGTAAACTGGCGCTCTTCGAAAGGAGAGATTTTACGATGATGGAATGTTTTGTTTGAGCTACTAGTCAACTCTAGGATGAAATAATTTTAATCAAAATTTAGTGGGTATTTTTGGTAATGCAATCGTCAAAAGGTTAATTGTTTTTCACTTGATTTCAAATTGTAATTTCTAGTTTTGACTTTTGCATTTATGTTTCTTTCCTTCTTGAAAAATCGTTAGGGTATATTCGATGAACGTCATTCCACTTTTTGTATAGTTGTTGATCCTTCATTATTTTGAGAATTATACAAATATATTTTGTAGAAATGTTACGAGCTTATAAAAAATATAAGTTTTTTAAAATATTGTATGTAAATAAATGCAAATTAAAAAGTGAAATATTTTAATATAATATTATTAACGATAATATAATTTGTTGGTTTCATTCAATAAAGCAGTTTTATGCAATTAATTGATTTTTAAATAAATAAATTTGCACCTCTTTTGCAGCTACTTTTCGTATATTCGCCATGCTGTTAGAAATATTTTTCGAATTTTAAATAAAATTATTTTTCCTTTTTAATTGGCCATAAAATTAAAGGTGCTAGTCAATGAATCAAAACAGCAATTATGAATTATTTAACACGATTAAACGAATTATATTTATTCAATTGCAATCAAAATGAAATCAAGCGCGCTTTAAAAAAGAGGTGAAAGTTATATCAAACATTAAAAAAAAAACATGTAAAAATGTGATTAAAATACACTTTTATATTTTGATTGTTTAGGTATAAAATTACACATGTAGTTCGCACAATTTAATTGGTAACGTAAGTGTTGATTTCTGAATTTGTGTCTTTAGAATGACCAATAAATAAATGTTAACAAAATAACTGAAATAGTTACAATTGGTGTGAAGTAGTTGTACAAACAGCAATAAATATTACCCTTGTCCAAGTTCTTTGCATTCATTCAACCTCATTTTCTTCTAAACACGCTCTTGTTTCAGCACCGGTAACGATATCAAACCTGGTAAATGCGTTCTGTTCTGGGGCTTAGATAAAGAGTTCAATTCTGTAGCGGTCGCAGGTCTTGGAAAGGATTCCGAACCTACCGATGATGATATCGAATTAATTTGCAACAAGAGCGAAGCTATACGGATAGCTGCGGCCGGTATTTACTTAAATATCCTGAAGTTTTAGTGTATATAAAGTTTAATTTCAGCGGGATGCAGGGCGTTAGATTCGGCAGGAATCAAAAACATCCACGTTGAGGACTTCGGCGACGCGGACGCCGCCGCGCAAGGCAGCGCCTTGTCCGTTTGGAAATTCCAAGAATACAAAACCGATAAAAAACCCTTAGCGAACGTCGAGCTCTCGCAGCTCAGCCGCGACCAGACGAACTGGCGCAAAGGCATCACCAAAGCCGAAGCCCAAAATTTGGCGAGAAAACTCACCGACACGCCCGCCAATCTCCTCGATCCCACCGTATTCTCCGAAGAAGCCAAACGCTTACTTTCCCCTCTAGGAGTCGATGTAAAAATTTACGATAAGAAATGGGCCGAAGATCAAAAAATGTTTTCTTTTCTAGCCGTAGCTCAAGGATCGGCGCAACCGCCGAAATTCCTAGAGATCACCTACAATCCCGCCGATAGCAAACAACCGCCCGCCGCCTTAGTCGGTAAAGGCGTCACATTCGACGCGGGCGGTATTAGCTTGAAACCTTCCGCCAGTATGGACGAAATGAGAGGCGATATGGGCGGCGCTGCCGTCGTTATAGGTCACTATTACAACCTTCTTAATCGATTATAATTTAACGACGTTGATGTTCCACTAGGTACCGTATTCGGTCTGGCTAAACTGGGAGTGCCGGCGAACTTGAAAGTCCTGGTACCTCTGGTGGAGAACCTGCCATCGGGCACGGCTATTAAGCCGGGAGACGTGATCAGAGCGAGGAACGGGAAGACTATATGCGTGGATAACACCGACGCCGAAGGGCGGCTTATCCTAGCTGACGCTCTATCCTACAGTGGAGATTTTAAACCGAAATGGGTGCTGGACATCGCCACTCTAACGGGAGCCATGCGAGTTGCCTTGGGGAACGCCGCTACAGGTAACACTTTAGAACCGATTTGGGTCGTACTTATTAACTAGTTGGTTTTCAGGTGTGTTTGCTAATAATAACAAATTGTACGAGGAGTTGGAGGAGGCCGGGAGGAGTACCGGCGATAGAGTGTGGAGGATGCCTTTGTGGAAGCATTACACTAAAATCATGTGCGAGCACGACGCGTACGATTTGAATAATATAGGTAAAGGGGCGAAGGGAGGCGGCAGCTGCACGGCGGCGGCGTTTCTGAGGGAATTCGCGCCGAAAGACACGCCTTGGTTGCATTTGGACATAGCCGGCGTTATGGGGCCCGATGCATCGGCTTATTTGCAAAAAGGCATGACCGGCAGACCTACCAGGACGATTATCGAGTTCATCGAACGCGAGACGAAAACTGTTTGAAATGGTTGATTTGGTGTAGGTTTAAAAATGCAACGAATTTGATTTAGTAACATTTTATTAGTCTTATTTAAAAAAAAACTAAAACAATAAGTAAATCAACGTGATGTTTGAGGCGCTAACATTAATCGGGACTAGTAAAGTTAAAATCGAACGAATCTGTATCATCCTAAAATATTAATCGACGTTAAGGAAATGACGGAAAAATAATATTTTGGAAGACTCAGTTAAAACGAAATTAAAACGGCAAAATTCGCACGGTTACCAAATTGTCTGCTGATAAAAAAAATAAACCATAACTCAACTCAACGAAAAAAATAATAATAATAAATACTTTACGCGATCATTGCACGTTTTTCCGAAAATTAAAAATTAGTAAATTAAAAAAATCACAGATTAAGAGAAAGTTTTGGAAGGTTTGTTCAAATAAATCGAATCTCCCAACTTACAACAAAATAAATTTTTGTTCGCTCGACTCGAGGAAGCTTCTCCAAAACAAGAAGAGGATCTCATTTAAACTCGCGAAAAATCAAACAAAACTTCTAAAAAAAAAACAATAAAAAGAAATGAATTAGTTCCACCTCTTCCTATTATGGCGCAGATTAGTCAACTAAATAAAATCAAACGGTTCCGCTGTCATCCGTCGTGACGCCGTTACAGATGATAACGGTCTCGTCTCTTCGATGGGGCTCTATCGCTTTCCAGATCCTCAACACGCTGGCCCCTCTAAGTCGGATATTCACCAAATCCTCCCGCCTGATGTCGTACAGCACCTCTTCGAGCGTGTAACCTTCGGCTAGAAAAATCCGCTTGTCGTACTCGTTAATACCCAACCCTTCCAGCCAATTCGCCAAACGTCGGTCTTCTTCGACGATTTCTTCGAGATGATCGTGCTGCGAATTGTTGTTGTTGAGATGCGAGCACCGGTAGCAACACGACTGCCGATAGGCGAGTTCCAAGCGAGTGGTTTCTATCAGCTGTTTCAACTAGAATAGAGATAATAGTGTTATAGAGAAGCACCACTTTATCCAGTTCAACTTACTATTCCTTGGTATTGCCTTTGGCACTCGAGCAAGTCTTGGTGCAACCTGACGTTCTCGTTTCTCAGCTGCAAACTGGCGGCCTTTACTTCGAAGGCCTCGTTGGTTTTGCTGGATTTGCTCGAGTTGATGGTGCTCGGCGAGCTGTGGTTGGCTATGTCTTCGCTCAGCTCGGGCGTGAGTACCGTCACGGCGGCCTGAATGCAGGATCTCACGAGATTGTCCAAGGCGAACATCCAGTGCGGTTTGATGGGGTGCAATCGGAGCACGTCATTAACCGATTCCTACAATCATTATTACTACAATGTAAGTAATTGATAAATTAGAGGGAATTTACCTGGAATAGGTAAACGGCGAATTGCAGTTGATTGATGGCGGCCGAATCGAAGTTCAATTCCTCCTTCAATTGCCTCACGGTACTCTCCACGACGGTCATCGATTGCTCGGTGAGGTAAGCCTTCAAACCGTCCATCAATTTCAGAAGGTGTTTCTCCGTTAGTACCGTCTCCCCTAAGTATTTGTCGCGGACTTTCTGCATCCATACTTCGCATATCTTCATACCGTCATTGGCAAGTACCTGGGAAGCAATTTTTTCTGATTAAGCACCGAGATGCTACATATCCTGCTGTTATATGGAGCTGAAGCTTGGTCAAAGGAAGGGAAGAAGGGTTATTAAGTACTCATTCAAAGCTGTAGGGTGGTTAAGTTTGTACCTTTGCGAGGGTGGTTCTTCGTTGAGAGTCCTTCTTGAGCAGGTAGAAGCCGTCGGTCTCGGTGCCGGTTTCCACTTCGGGAGATAGCAGAGTGCCCGAGGAGTTGCGGCGTTCCGAATGGGGGCTGTCGGTTTCGCAATCCAACGATGGCGTGGAGGCTAGACTGAAGCGATACAATTTAAGTACCTAATATTTTCGCTACGATTTTATCGTTCTACCGAAACACTCACAAAACAAATCACAAGTAGAAAAGTTAATGACTTTCAACAAGTATTTTATGATAGAATCCTTTTAAATTTGTTAAATAGTACTTTTATAGAATTTATTAACTGTTTTGAGTGTTAGATAACTTAATCCGTAGAGGAGACCAAGCGTTGTAATAATTAGGATTCCAAGAGAGTTAGCTATGAGTACAGCTAAAAATACGTATGGAAGGAAGATAACTAGCTGTAAGTGTAAGAGAAAATAAGTTAAAATTACCTGTTGAAAGTAAGAGCGGTGGGCATTTGAATCGGTGGCAGTAAAGAGGCCCGACTCTGATGAGAACGGAAACTGTAAGTTAACCATTTTTTACCTCAAGCAAACACAAAAAAACAAACGGTATTTTGACCCAAAAAACATTAAAAAAAATCGAGCAGCTTTTTTCTTACTCCAGTGCAACAACAAAACTCGTTAACGAGAACAAACAATTTCTAAAATTAAGCAGGTAAACCGCAAAATTATTCTTATGAAAATAATATACTCGATTTATGAATACAAATGAATAACAACATTAATTTCCCTCGTTTTTGAGTAATCGTGTTTTCCAATTTTTGAAGGTGTGTGTGTTATTTGGGCCTTCACCAAAAATAATATTTTGTATTTTCCATCAAATTCCAATCGAAATAATTTGAAAATTGCTTATACTCGACCAAATCTCGTAAATGGACATATTAAATTATTGTCAAACTCAACACAAAAAATGAATAAAATAAAAATAAGATAAAAAATACAAATATTTCAAAAATTGCTTTAATACAACCCTGTTGAAATACCGAAAAGATTAAATAATTTCTTTAATTCCTAATACGTGTAAATTTCATGCAAATAGTTGAACCAACCGATTGTAAACAATGTACATTACCCTGTATTATTAATGTATTTGCAGCACCAGTCTTCGGTATTTAAAATATTCGGAATAATCATATTCCTTCTTTTTATTACAAATTCCTTCAAACAAATCGGTTTTGTCCGATTTTTTAATTTAAACACTCGCAACTTTAACGACTTTCAACTTTCAAAATGGAACTTTTCGTTTACATTTCGAAGTAGGAAAACATGGCAGTGGCTAAGCGTCCGATGGGCCGGTTAGTACATGCGATTTTTGAATAAACGTTATTGAAAATCCTTTCGGTAGTTGTTAAAAACTAAGCGAATCAAAACATTGTTAAAATATTACGCACTGGATGGAAAATCATGAAATTCAATCGATAAAAAAAGGTTCACTGTATCGAAACAATAATGAAATAAATTCACCTTGCATTTTCTGGAAAACTCACGTGACATTCTTAAATAACGAGACACTACTTTTTCGACCTATGTATGTTTCCAGACCTTAGAAATATACGGCAGTGCTCAAGAGCATGTATTCTTGAACATTGTTGTCAGATGTACCACGTTTACTTAGTATTTGCTACTTTTAAATACGTTCTAACGTGCATTCTTCACTGAAAGGTCACTTTTCTTAATATCTCGAATTTTTTACCTTTTTGTGTACTATGCAAATGAGATTAATTTGGAAAAATCGTTAACAGACCAATTGATACATGCAAAACACCATGCAAAGCGAAACCAATAAAATACTTACTCTGCATCCGGGCTAGTCGGAGTTTGATTTGGAGCGCTATTATGACCAGGATGTCTATTTGCCATTTTCTCAGCAGGCACCGACACGCTCCTGTTAAATTCGGTATTCAAACGAACGTTTTTCTGCCGCCTTTCGGATCCTGCTCGTGCACAAATAAATTAACAATTCATCAACATCGCCTTATTTAACAGTTTACCTAAGAAAGGATCTTCGAGTAACTGAGCGGCCGTCGCCCGTAATTCCGGATCGGGCTCGAAACACCTCTTAATGAACGCCTTGGCCCGGTCCGAAAGCTCCTCCGGCACCTCCGGATGGGCTTTGTAGTAGCCCACTTTGAAAATCGCCGCTTGAGGCGAGCCCAATTCTATGAAAGGCGGCTTCCCGGTGGCCATTTCCACCATCGTACAACCCAGCGACCAAATATCAGCGGGAGCACCGTAACCTAATTACATCGAATTTTGAAGGACGCTCGTAATCGAGTAATCCACACTCACCTCTCTGGCCTTTGTCGATTACTTCCGGAGCCATGTATTGAAGAGTACCGGCGAAAGTTTCGGTACTAGGACAGAGACCGGCCAATCTCTTCGATGTACCGAAATCCGAGATTTTAACACAACCACTGTAAGTATTAACCAAAACGTTGTCACCTGGAAATAACCACAATTACGCACGATCTTCTATAAACTCGTTAATCACCTTTGATATCTCTATGCACAATTCTCTGATCGTGCAAATACTTCAACCCTTCTAATATCTGCTTCGTGTAAAAGGCCATCGTGTGTTCATTGAACTTAAGCGGCTTCCATATCGAACGTAATAAGGCACTGAGCGAACCTCCAGGTACTTGTTCCATAAATATCTTGAAATAACCATCCTCCGACAACGAGCCCAAGTACATGACGATATTTCTATGTCTCAATTGCGAATGAAGGCGGATTTCTTCGTGCAACGGCTGCACGGCTCCTATATTTTTTTCAGGTACTTCTTTAACAGCTATGCGAACCTTCGAATGTAAATTATTAGCGAATTATTATAGTTTATTGATTGTAATTTACTTGTGTTTCTAGGTTTCGAGCTGCATAAACTACACCGTACGTCCCCTTTCCTAAGAGAACTTTCTTGCCGTTTTCATCGCGCTCGTATTCGTATTTTATGTCTCTCGGAGGCTCCGAATCTACGAAACCTTCTTGGTGATTGGTCAATTCCAGTATTAACTTATAGAAACATTCCCTAAAACACACCAAAATCAGTACAGCAATAAAATAAAGCCCGTACTTACTTACCGACAATTCTCCGAAGGGAAAAATATTTGAAAATCATCCGAATTATGATGGACATACAAAAACAAACCGCGTTCGTCTCGCTTGTAGAAACTGACGCTTCTGATCTGATTGGCCGTGAATTCCCAATCGTGGATTTGCTTGCACTCGCCCCTCAAGCTTTTGTCGCACAAATTGCTGACCTGCAGAGTCTGCGGATCCGCGTCCAAGTTGATACAAACGTAGCTCGGCATCCAGTCTCTGCTCTGCTCCAAGATCAACGCCGGAAACCTGAAGGCCTCTTCGTAGTTCTCTTTGATGGCCTCCAGGAAAAATTCCATCCAGAAATGGAAGATTTGCTCGTCCGGGGTGACCGCTTCGTCGCTCTTCTTTCGAAATTTATCGATTAACTGAAACGATTTTAGTATTTAAAACTGTATGCGTTCGATCATAGATTGTTACTTGAATGTTGCCGATGGTCGAAGTTAAATACCAATTGGGCGGCTTGAGTTTGAACATGCAAGACGCCGCTTGGGTGGCGTTGCTGTAGTGTTGAAACAGTACGGATATTTCGAAGAAAGTGGCCACGTCCCAATAGTCCTTCAGCGACGCCAAGCTACCTTTCTTGCCTATCAAATTGTTCAATACCATTCCTATGTGTTGCAGTTCATCGGATTTGCCCAGTTCCGCCCCTTTGATCACCAACAGCGTTGCCAAATTTATACCTAAACAGCAGTAGGTATAATAATGTTTATGCGATAGTGATGAAGTCGTACCGGCATATTCGTTGGGTTGTACTTCGAATCCTTTTCTATACCAATAAATCGCGGCGTCTAAACTCTTCGTATCCTTATGATCGGATTCCGTGAACATGTCTTTGTATATTCGACCGCACAAACATAGCATATCGGGAAAGTGATTTTCTTTCTGGAATAATCAATTCAACAAACACTCTAATACTAATCGAATTATCTTCTTACATGCTTCAAGGAATCTTCGCAGACAGCCAAAGCATTCTTTCTATCGCCGTCTTTCTTTCTTCTGTTCAAAGCGAAAGCGTAGAGGAACATGATGTAGGAGTTCAGGTACTTTCGAGCCGTAGGCACCTTCTTCAGATCTTCGACGAGATGTATCATGGCATCGTATTCTTGGATGTCCCGAAAGCAGAACAGCATGTCGAGGATCACTTCGCCCGAAAGGACGTTGGGATCGTCGAGACGTTTGCGCATCAACAAGAGAGCTTTGTTCAACTCCTCGCCGGTCTTCTGTTCTTTGAGTTTCTTCAGGTCGCTGAGGAATTTCTCCCTCATGTGAGCCCTGCGATTAACATTAGTGAGACTAGGTGAGTTCATATGCGGGCGATATTTACTTTGTTTGTACTTCGACATCTTGCAGGTATCTTTTTAATCTCTGATGGAGGAAATCGATGGGCTCATCTGATCTGCCGCTGGGACAGGTTGTAAGGCACGAACTCTCCGAGAGATTGTACGATATGAAGGAATAACTACCGCACGATAACTGAAACAATTAACCAATTACATACTTCTAATTGGTGATTAAACCAGACTCACCTTTAATTTTAAGGTGGTTTCTGAGTCTACGTCGTTGTATATTAATATGTTTTGTTTCATATTAAAACTCTCTCTAACGCCAAGATGATAGAATAGTGTACCATGTTGTACCGGAAAGGACAGATCGATTATTACAACATCTGCATTGTAGAAACTGCTAACAACGTTCGATTCTCCGAAATCCAACTTTTCAAACTAAAAAACATTAATAATGTATAAAAATTTAATATATAAGGTAAAATATTTACCTGAACATGACTTAAATTAGCTCCAATTTGAAAACAAGCCTGCTTTATTTCTTCGAGAGCTTTCTTTCTTTGTAATATGTTTTCTGTTTGACAAACATCTATAACACAAACAACATCCATCTGGCTTTTCGTCATTGTGCCGCTGGTGTGTACTGTTGTAATAGATAAATCGGAATGCGACCCGACGCTATCTGTAATACTGCGACATTCTGCAAAAATTGTTTGTTTTTACAGCACATATTGTATGACATGTTTTGTTATTGTAATGATTCATTACTATACCTGTTTCAGTCTCCAAGACTGTCGAGTTAGGCGGTATAGGCATACTTGTTTAGTTTTGCCGAAGCGAAATGATGTAGATTCAGCGGATTTACAATGTAAACAGTGGTATCTGTATAGGCATATGTGCGAATAAACATGAATACATTTGTTGCTCTTTAATATTATTCACTTGGCTGCTCACAATAGCGTCTTTATGGTCGTAAATTGTACTAATGTCCGTCTTTTATGAGATTAAATTCGTTCTATTAGGTACCAATTGAAGTTTTAAAAATAATAAACTTGCATAATTGGGTAATAATAAAAGTTTTGACAATTTTGACAGAAGTCAGTTGCGTTGTTAATGTCATTGTCGTATGTCAAAAATGTCAATTCATAAATGTCATATTTTATTTAGGCATTTTTTAGCGAACATGTAACTTCTAAATTTTGCGTTTCGTGTAAATTTTGAAGTTTCATCTTTTTGAATTATCTACTTTTTTGATAACAAAAAAAAACAAAAACGAAAAACGATTAGTTTTGTTACTTGCAGTGAAGAGTGGTGTATTAAGCAAAGCAGATTGAATCTACTAATTTGGTATGTATTCAATAAATATTTAAAACAGCCATTTCCATATGCAAATTCATGCAATTTTCATTTACCCATGCACTGAAAAATTTCTTCACACTTGGCAAGATTCGTTTGCATGCAGCCTTGATTAATAAGTCAATAACGATAGTTGTCACGTCACGTACGCAAATATTCTTTTAAAAAGGCAATAATTAACTGTTTGCTAATTACACGACCTATATAGTCACTCATTCATTAATTACTTAACTAATTAAAATAATCAAAAACTTAAAAACAAATCAATGTTGGATGTATGCCAATGCAAAATTTTCCAACAAAGCACCGTGAACCAACAATCAATGAAATTTCCTGCGGTTCTATGCAGCTCTGGGATGAATATGATCTCTTGATCGATTGAGTTGATACATTTATTATAAATTATAAAAATTATGGAAAATGGAGTGCTGTTTTTAAAAAGCTTTTTTCAGAACGTGTTTGCTAAAGCTCTTGCATTTGTTGCGTAATTCCCAATAATATCAGTAAAAAATTACCAAAAATATTGCATCGAAAATCCGATTAAAAATGTTTTTAAATCGGTGAAAATATAAACGGTTTTAATTGGTTTTAATTAACGAAAGTAATGTTCTCATTCTATGAATATTTAACGTTTGTTTTTTTTCTCGATATAACCTTCACATTAATCAATCAGAAGCATTAAAAAATCAACTTCCGATTTATTTCTTGATTATATCCTATTTGCTTTACGATTTTTAAAATTAATTACCTCTAGTTGCTAATTAGAACTCGGCAATATTCAAATTTCTAACAAGGAAAACTTGGTGTATGGTGCGTTTTGTCATAGGTTTTTTTCTGATTCATTTCCGCGTTTTTAATGATTGTTAAAAAAAAGCCTTAGGTTAGGGAAGTAGGTGATTTTTTTTGTAGGTGATTTTTTTTGTTTTATTTTTCTAAACCAAGTTTTTGGTGTTTGTTTGATTTCTTAGGTAATAAATAATTAAATTAGCCACGTGCTTTAGTTCATTTAATACCAATAAATCAACTGAGTTAAACATTCCGTTAAACAAGCGCAAACAGTTATTGCCTGTTTTTAATCTCGATTACTCGATATTGATTTACCATATTAGAGTACAACATAATAAATATCTTTTAAATTTTATTATGATATACTACGGTCATTTTGAAAAAAATCTTCGAACACACGTTGTGTAAAGCCGGAATAAATTATTGAAATTATATAATTTTTTTCTTCTCGCGAGACCTTACAATCACTTTTATTTCCTAGTTTCATGGAAGCGGAGTAAAACCGAATAAAGTAAATTTATGCAAAAATGCATTTCGCTTTTAGCGCGACCATTCGTAAGAGCAAACCGCCAATAAGAATAAGAGCAAAGTCATTACGTTTAATTTTCGGTCGACCTTGTCGTATTGATCGATTACACGATCGAAGGTGAAGCAATAAATGTTTTATTTATTCAAAAGCTTGACAGCTTTCAAGTTCTTGGTCACGTACGCACTTTTACCAGACGGTGCAATGTTGGGAATTTTTCTTTTTATGCATTTTTTTAATTGATTCCCTTTGACGGTGACATTTTTAAAAATATCACTCCATTTCAATTACACCTTTTATAGAACTTTTCGATACAATCAACTCGTCTGTAGAAATTAATAAATTCTTGCTCATACTTCCTAGATGGATTTACAAATTAATTACGTAAAAATGGCTCAGGAATTTTTATTGACGTTCAAATGTACAAAAACTCGAGCAAATGTAGGTCAATAGTCTATGCATTGTTACGACCGGTATATTTCAGTTAATAAAATAGTAATTTTCATAAATTATAATGTAGTTGCACATTTTTGTTATGTCTCTTAAATTATATGGTGTGTAGCTGCTTAAATATTCAAGTACTGATACATTCATGAAAAAAATGAATTTTGTCCTGTTGTATTAATTTCATATAGAGGTTTATAATTAAAATTAAAAGGGTTATAAAATTTCAGATTGATTTTGAATGAGAATGTTAATTGGATGCTAATATATACAGAAGTGAAGTATTGTAAAAATTACTGCTTATAGTTGTCAATAGATTTTTTCTTTATATTAATTATTATATAAATAGGAAGGCATTTCATTAAACGATTTATTTTAATTACCGTAAATATTAATAAGACAATAATAATTAATTAATACACACATTGTATTCAATTGAATAAACATGTGTATATTATATTGACAAACCTACTTATCTTATATACCTTAATTATAAGAAATAACTGAAGATTGAGTGGATATATTAATTAAAATTAACAATATTAAACAATAACAGTGGAATTAATAAAATATAATTTAACTGGTAAGTATATTAAAAATATGTTTTTTGACCTCCTAATTTGACCAAGAGGATAATTTTGACGAATTCAAATCAAAAGGTAAATTTCATATACATATTAAAATATGCTAATTCTCACAATGTTTTTCCATTTTAGGTATTTTGGTAAATAAAAAAAAATTGATATATTAAATGGATTCTACATACCTATACATATAATTAAAAAAATATGTTTCCGAACAGACAATTAAACGAATATTTTCATGGGTAAGTGAAGATCAAACTGATATTTTTGCCGCCCTTGCGGGATCAATTTTTCACGGTTAATTTTTCCGATCGCAAAAATCTAAATTTAAATCGGAAAACATTTAAGGTTAATCAGGCTTTTATAATGACTACCTTAAATAGACGTAATGGTATATTTGACAAATATGCCAATGTCAATAAAATCCTTAATGGATAATTAACCAAAGAAGTCAATGTTAGTTATCCAACAACCGAGATTTTTTTTAATAAATAAGATTTGAAATAATACATTAAATTCGAGAGCGTCGAGGATTTTCGGACGAAATAATAAAAATCAAACGAATAAATAAATCGAATCGGTTTTACGGTTTTAGAAAGTAAGAGGTATATTTGTTCTAAAACCTATGTATTCGAATTTTTATACCAGGCATTAGACCATGCATTGCCGGATTTACTTTCCGTTGACATATGGTCTTGAAAATGAAATTTTTCAACGACAGATTTTCCATTTGAGTTATTCAGGTGCGGTGTATTAAATTTAATACCAAATTTACGTAACCTACACAAGGTGGATATGAATTTGATGAGTTAAAGTATTTTTGTAATTTATTAGAATACTAATTATATCATAAAATTTGGGAGATACAATTTGTTCTTTACAATTAATCAGAGGTTTATTATGAAACTTCATTTATTGGTTCAAAAATTGATGGAAACTTACTAAATTTAATATTCAAAAGAACTTCTTCTTTAAAAGACACAGTTTCCAAGTTCTAAATTGTTTTCCAATATAATTTAAGTTGTGATGGAAGATCAAAATTTAATCAAAATTTTATATATTGCAATTTGCAAACTGTGTCTGCCGGCGTGGTTGGATTGACCTTACACACGAAAACATCGTCTGAACATGCAATTTGTGTGTAATAAAACCCCAATACATTAGGAGAATTTCCGGAAATGGCCTCGCAATCATATTGGAACAATATTGATTAATTGATTATATCCGAAATACGTCAGTTATTTACGTGATTATTACGTCGTTTAGCGATTAATCATTCTTATTAGCTTGTTGCTTTATCTCTACTTTTATCTATGTCCTTACCTGTACACACATTTCGATAGGGATTCGATTTTTTATATGCATTTTTTCTCGTATCCGAATGAACGTCAATCATTGTCGATATTTGGAGGTAATTATTGATTTATTAGCGGATACAAATTATAGGTATTAGAGGAAATAAAATAGCTGATAAACAAAATGAAAATGAATACATTTTCCGTGAAGTTGTAGAATTAAGGATATTCAATACAAGTTTTTCTCAGAATCTCAACATATTTTTCATTATCTGTGAAATTTCATGAAGTTTGAGCAATTTATGTATTTTTGGAGTCAGAACATCATTGAACCAGCATCATTTCAAGGGCTATTTCTTGAAGTTATGTTTGATACAATTGATCTAGTTTAATGAATCATTGGAATAGCACGATCTAGTACAACAGGACTAATTCTTAACTAGTTATTTTATGATGTTAGTTTCGAATAATAATTGATCTAAATCTGAATCAGAACATTATTGGGAAAGCTTGATCTAGTACGTACAGCAGGGTTAATTCTGATCTCAAATAGATAAAAAAATTGAGGCTCAATGGAGGAAGTGGTAAGATCTTAAGGAGCCAGCAGTTAATTCAATTATGATACTCCTCAATTATTTTTTTTGAAACCAATTTCTGTCCAAAACTTTCGGCTTGATAAGATCATTCAATAAAACAACACTGTGTGTTCGTCTTCTAATGGCTTTAGCTTGATGAAATCTGATGTGGCAGTTGCGAGAGTGCCATCGAGTTCATCCTCCGCCCTCTGATGGACGTGGTGGTTGGGAAAACGCGACGTGAGCTTGCGAGTACGTGCAGAACCTTCGCTGGTCAATGCGAGAAGCGCGTTCTTCCGCGCTCTGGCCTCGTGCTTCGAGGTTGCACTGCATTATAGCTATATAAAACTAAGTGCGGGCCAATCGCCTCGCATCTTTCTTTAGTTCAGAAGCAGACTGACTGTGTGGTGTTCAGTGTTTGGAAGCCAGTACACCCCTTTTGGATTACAACCAACATGAAACTTGTAAGTGCGAGGGTTTGAGATGGTGGATTTTTTTTTTGAAAAAATTTTTGGTAACTGGTTATAATTTGAGATATTTGCAATTTCGAGTTGCGGGTATGTTAAAATTATTAATTACTATTCAATTAAAATTGTGGACGTTCCTTTCAAATTGCGGAATTTGTTTCATTCATATTAATGATGTTACGAATTGATTTCGAATGTTTAGCATCATTTCATTATCTATGATGTATTTGTAAATAATGAAGTAACTGAATGAGAGAAATTGATGTGAATTTATCAAAAGCGATTTAGTTCTAAAAAACCGATTTCGTTGATTT